ATACATCGCTGACTAGAGAGGAGTGGAGACAGGCTTTGCTAACCATGTGGACAGCACTGCAGGGCCTCCCACACTTTCAGGAAGATGGAAGGATGAGAAAACTAACCAGAGAGATTTTTTTTTTTTAATAACAACAACAACAACAATAAAAAAAAGCATTACAGTACTGTTAGTGGGGTGAGTTTGACCAGCCACTTGCTGGATGGGGGTGGAGAGCACCACACCTCTAGTTACCAAAGAGTTGTGCAAGGTAAAATGGGGAGAACACACCACTCTGATCATTTATGGTTGCTAGTACAGTACTAGGCAAATGGAGCTGGTTATCTGGTTCCTGCTCTGAATGGAACATTGCTTGCAATAATTCAAAATGACTGCCCTGTGCTCATTTGCAGTTACCTTTCCTTGTTCTCTGTTTTCATTCAGTTTTTTCTCTTCTGTATTTGATCTACTGTTTTATCCCTTTCTTTGAAGCTCTGGGATCCAGGATTGTCATCCATCATTTCCCATGTTTTTGGGCATCTTTATTATAAAGAGTCTGGATAGTGTGCCTGCCTAGTCTGTCATCTTGGAACCTCTCCTCTATCTTTTACTTCAAATCAATTATATTTAAAGTGGTATTTTGAATATTGAGTGTATTTGAGTTGTGCCTTTATTTAATTTGACAGTTTCTGCCTTTATTATTAAAATGTTTAAATTATTTCCTTTTATATGATTATAAATATTGTTGCTTTTGAGTTGATTAGAACTCATAGCAAACATATAGGACAGAGTAGAACTGCCCTTCAAGGTTTCCAAAGCTGTAAATCTTTTTTTTTTTTAAATGATTATGATTATTATTATTTTATTGTGCTTTAGGTGCAAGTTTACAGAGCAGAGTTTGTTTTATATTTAACATTTCATATACATTTAGTTTCACTCCCCATTTACTATCCCCAATCCTAACCCAGTCTCCACCCCTACCTGCCCAGTAACTCTCCCCTTGTGTCCCTCATAGTTATGAGTCCTGTTTGTCCTGCATTTCCTCCATGCGAATGTTGCCCCTCTGGTGCTGTGTGGTCGATTGCTCCAAGAAATGCATTTCCACAGAGTATGTGGGTATGTCACCCTGGGTTGAGTGATCTGTGTATACATCTTGTTTACTATTGGGCTGAGAACCAGCTCCTGAGAGTGAGTTTTATTCCCAAAGCTGTAAATCTTTATGGAAGCAGAATGCCACAGCTTTCACCCTCAGAGTAGCTGATGAGTTTGAACCACTGACTCTTCAGTTTGCATCCCAACACTCAAGTACTACACTATAAGCCCTCCTTGATTATAAATATAATTGTGTCTTAATAACCATCTTGATGTATATATGAGTGTGTATGTGTGTATGTGTATATATATATATATATATGTTGTTGTTGTTATTTGCCATTGAGTTGGCCCTGACTCATAGCGACCCCTCCTTGGGTTTCCAAGGCAGTATCACTACGGAAGTAGGAATGCCCAACCTTCCTTCCGAGGAGTGGCT